GCAAAGGGCGCCGTGGTGCAAGGTCCCTGGTGCTCCCTGGCCGGAGGCGAAGCCCACGGGGGCGGCTCCGTTTCTGCTTGCGCTGCAAATGCCTCCCGGGTCACTCGTTGCTTTGCTGCAACTTCCTGCTAGCGAAAGCATCATTGCAGAAGTGCTTCTGCTAGCAGAAGCGTCAGGACATGTAAATAGTGAACTTGTGCTTGCACACCAGGGGCAAGGGTTTTCCTTTCCACGCCCCGAGCAGCCGCCTCGTGCCCCTTTCCAAGGTGTTGAGTGTTGATGAACTCACTTGTTCGGGGAAGAAGGGCTCATGTTTCCTCCCGGATGCTCCTTGGCTGTAGGAGGAGCTCTCACGGGGAGGAGAAAACCCTCGCTTTTATTTCCTGCCTCTTGTTGCTTTAGGAATTTTCTTCCTCCAGGAGCAATGCTTCCTCCTGCCCCTTTGTAAAGGCCAAGGTTAAAAATAGAGCGCAGCAATGCAGCTGRAAGCTGCTGTCCTAGACTGCCCTGCTCCTCATGCCAGCCTGCCAAGCTTAATCCCCCAACAGGGCAGGGGTGAGACTGAAAGCAAGGCATGGATAAATGTTTGGTTTTTTTGCCATAGCAACTCAGAAAAATCACCTGAAGGGCCTGGGCTGCTCACCTGGTGGTTAGGCCCTGGCACTGGGGTGCCAGGCTGGTTCTCCTGGCTACCTAGAGCCCTTGTAGCCACACCAGAACCAGCAGCCCCTGGCCAGACTTACTCGCCTTTCCCTATGCTTGCAGTTCTGCCTTGAACAAGGATGCAAGTTTCCAGCAGGAACCTGTGGAAAAACTTCCCAAGACAAGGCTTCAGGGAGCCTTCCTTGCAGAGGGAAACATGAGCATTTGCCCAAGTACTTGAAATGAGGAAGATTTTTTTTTTTTTCAAGCTCATCACATCCTAGCTATACTCGGAATAGCCACGAGATGGTGGCAAAGACAAGGAGTCAGTGCAGAGCGGCTGGCAGGGAGCGGGAGGGTARCTGGGGCCCTGTGGGGTTTCATGTAGAGTTATCAGTGACTTAAAGCCAGTTGGATCTGGGGGGTTGCAAAAGTGTGATTTGCTGCAAATTGCAAAAAAATGCTGCAAATGTGGTGCAACGCTTTGGGCTGGTGACCGCAGCACTGCATGGGAGCGTGGCAGGGGCAGCGTGCAGCCTGTGAACGGCTGCACACACGTTTATTAATAAAACCACTGGCCRTGGTGTCAGTCAAGCATTGCTGCCAACGGAGCCAGCTTGCAACCCTTCCCTTGGGGCAAGGAGAAGGTGAATGCCCACCCTCCTGGCTAAACCACGGGGCGAGCTCTGAGCGCTGCCCTGCACACACTGCTTTTCTCCAGAGTTCTCCAAAACTCCCCGCATTCCCCCTCACCACGGGCTCTTCCTGGAAACACGTGCATCCTCGGCACCGTGCCCACGGGCAATCCAGGAGGGAAGCATGGGGCACGAGGCGACTTGGGCRCCGCGGGGCTCAGGCCGGAGCGYGGGGCAGGCGGCGGTAGATGACGCGGAGCCTCCCGCGCAGCGCCACGAAGGAGGGCCGCCGCTCCGTGTCGCCGTTCCAGCACTCCAGCATGATGCCGTAGATCTCGGCCGGGCAGCTGCTCGGCCGCGGAAGGCGGTAGCCCCGCGTGATTTGCCGCACCGTTTCCTGGTTCGTCATGCCTGCAAGGAGAGAGGAGATTCCCCCTGCTGCTTCACACCCCATGGGATGCCCTGAGCCAGGTCCAAAGGATGTTCTGYCCTGAGCCACTCAGCTCCTTCCACCCGACCCTTCTGCAAGGCGAGAAGATCGCTCCAGGCTGTTACAGRAGCCTCCAGGCTGGGCAGGAATTTTTTCATCCTCCAGAAGCTGCTTCCACCTCAACTACTCAATAGTTAAGACACCCCATGGCAAGGTCTTCATGGCACGTGGAATGTGGGCAGTGTCGGTGGCCACCCAACAGCATCCCAGCCCACTCGGGAAGGGGGGAACCCGTCACTACCTTCGTATGGGATCTGCCCGTATGTGAAGACTTCGTAGAGCAGAATCCCGTAGGACCAAACGTCGGACTTCAAGGAGTAGGTGCGGAAGTTGGCTGCCTCCGGYGCCGTCCACTTCACCGGGATTTTGGTGCTGCTGCTGGTGGAATAAATGTCGTCCTGCAAAGAAACAGGAGACCTTGAGGGCTGCTTCCTCAGCAGAAGCCGTGGGTGAAATCTGGGTCCCCATATGCATTAAGCGTTTTGATGCCAGCATGGTGAGACTGGTGGGGTAGACCTGCTGTGTGGGATGGGGCAGGGGGTGCTGTGGGTGACTGCAGCATCAGAGAGCAGCTCTGGGTGCAGTGGGGACCCACAGCTTCCCCTTACTGACCTTGAGGAGCCGGGCGAGCCCAAAATCGGCGATTTTGCAGGTGAGTTCATCTCCCACCAGGATGTTTCTGGCCGCCAAATCCCGGTGCACAATGTGCTTCTCTTCCAGGTACCTCATCCCATCTGCCACTTGGCAGGAGATGTTGACCAAGTGGGAGGTGCCCAGGGCCTTCCCTTCAGGACCTGCGAACCCAGGAGAGCCAGGTGTTTAAGGCAATCCAGCAATACCTCTTTTTAGATGCCCCAGTGCCTTCTGGCTTGGAAAGAGACCCAATGCAGGCAACAGGGTAGAAACTGGCGTGCAGGAATATGTAAAACCTGTGTTTCACACTTCCATAAATTCATTATGTCCCATTGGCTCCTCAAGATCTTTGCACGAGCATCCTGGGTTGCAAGAAGGAAGCAACCCAGGAGGTCTCAACCAGTTCCAAGCTCAAGGTGACCTTCTGCCACAGGAGCCAGGCCTCCAGACATGTCCTACCTGAGAGCGCTGGCTCCCTCCACACCAAGCTCTGCTAGAGCCATAACCAAAAATCAGGTCAAGTTACTTGGTATGGAGGAAGAAGAGGAGGGGGGTGAACAGTGGAAGAACAGGTCTTGGTGGGAGCTGTTTGTCTTGTTTCCCTTCAAGACTGATTGCTGGGTCAGGCACCAAAGAAAGGAAAGGAGCAGAAAAATAAATGTTCTTCACACTGCTATGGGGATGAGTAATGGGGCAGCAAGGGGCAACTTGGCCTCTTACTGATTGTGCATGTGGGCAAAAATGTGTCTCAGCAGGGAGATGCAGGTCACCCAAGAGCATCTCCACCAAGCACCCAGGGACTGCTTTGTATTAGCACCTAAGCCCGACCTAGCCCCTCCTAGRGTCTTCATTGGGCTCCTGAGGTCTTTAGGTGTCCTCAAGAGGACCTCTCCCTGCTCCGGGGCAGGCACTCACTGTGCAGGTAGCTGTGCAGGTTGCCTTTCCGCATGAGCTCGGTGATGATGTAGACCGGCTCGCCCACCGAGCACACGGCGTGGAGCTGGATGAGCTTCTCGTGCCTCAGGCGCTTCAGGTTCTGGATCTCCTTGGTGAAGTCGTCCGCCTTCATGTCAGCTGGGGGAGGAAGGCAGAGGAGCTCTTGTGAGGGCCCGTCTGCAATGGGGACCTCCTTCCTCCCCATGGCCACCCCCCTTTTCCAGGACCGTATCTGCACACCCCACTTCTCAGATCCAAGCACATCCAAGTGGCTTTGGATGCCACTTTCTGGAGCATCATCTCCTCCAGCTCATCACAAGCCCACTGAACAGACCCAGCTTACAAAGGTGCCCATCCAGGCTTAGGTGTTTCCACACAAACAGTCTCAGGGGCGGTTGGTTAGGTCCTACCACAGTTGGCTTAATAATACGGTGACAAGGAAGGACACRAGGGAAAAGAGGGAGAGAGGAGACTGAGCGGGGCCTTGTTCCCGTTGGTTGTCTCCTGCTCCACACACCTTTTATGATCTTGATGGCCACAGGCACCGTGTTCCTCCACAGCCCTTCCCACACCTCTCCAAAGTAGCCTTCGCCCAGCTTCCTCCGCAGGGAGAATTCCCAGCGYGGGCGCTCCCATCCGTCCTGCTCGGGTGGCACCTGGGGAACACGGGCATTGCACRCTCAGACCCCATCACCAGACCCTACACGAGCTTTTGGGGTCCCACCAAAACCTGGGCATCTGGACTAGCTGGGTGTGAACCTCCTTCCCCAACACTAAAAACATTCACTTTTGCATGAATCATGGGCTTAATGATTATTTCTAAGCCACTTTTTGCGTTATTCACGTGCTTAATTATTATTTCTAAGACTTAATTGGTGAATGGAATCCTAATCAGGAAGCGAGTTGGATTAATTCTCTAATAGGATTTACAATCCCCGCAGTAATTAGTCCAGGGCACAGAAGAGGGACTTCCTGGTTGTGCTGCCGGACCTGCTTGGGAGCGCGGGTGTTTCCAGGCTCTTTGCAGATCCAGAAGGGATGCGTAACAAAACGGTTTCCAGGCTTTGCTACGGAGCCAGTCTTAGCCTGTCCAACTGAGGGAAAAGCTGGCAAAAAATGGGGTGTTTTAACTTTTATGAAATCTCAGCTGGCTGGATTACTTGGCTTCCTATTTCTTGTAAAAAAAATATTGGGCAATTTTCATCTCATTTTAGGACAGAGCTCATTCCCTCAACCTCCTCTTTCTTTTTCTCTAAAGGGAGCACCCAAGCCCTCCCACTTTTGCATTTTGACTTTTCCCTCATTTCTCACTCTGGGCAACCTGGAAGAAGGGGGAGTTGGGGATGCGGAGGAGGCGGGATGCRGTAGGCCATGGGATGTAGGAGAACATGGGATGCAGGAGGACCCGGGACGAGGTGGGATGCAGGATACGGGAGGACGCAGGATGCGGAGGAGGCGGGATGCGGGAAGAGGGTAGGATTTGGGACGTGGGTGGATGGTGGGATGTGGAAGGACACAGGATGCAGCGGGACGCGGGAGGAGGACACGGGACGCGGGAGGAGGACACGGGACGCGGGAGGAGGACACGGGACGCGGAGGACGCACCGCGGGCGCGCAGGGCTGCAGCAGCGGGCTCTGCAGCACGGCGCAGTTGGCCGCGTAGAAGGCGAGGAGCTGCTCCATGCTGCCGAAGGGCCGTCCCCTCTGGAGGTGCAGGCGCCCGCCGGGGCCGCGGCCGATGCGGAAGTGGCTGACGCCGCCGCGGGCGCGCACTGCGGGCGGGAGCACGGAGACCTCAGCATCCTCCCTCCTCCCGGCAGCTTTTCCAGCACCCGCAGGATTTACTGCGACCTTTCCCAGCATGTTTTCACCCAGACAACCACCCCTGCATTTAGCGTGCAGCTCGGTGCTGCAAGTATGCCACAACAGCATCATTTTTAGATGATGCTCCTGGCCTTCAGCACCCATGGGCAAGCAAGGAGCTTCCCAATCCAGTCCCCTCCAGGCACACAGCAGCCTCCCTTGGCTTCCTGCAGCTCTCGGCGAGCGCCTGGTTTCTTTTCACAAGGTGCTGCCCAAGCCTCCGAGTGCACCGGGTGCCGGGCGGTGGTACCTGAGAGGGAGAACTCGCCCTTGCTGCTCTCGCTGTCCCGCACGAGGAAGGAGCCGTGCTGGTTGGGGGGGGACAGCAGGAGCTGCTCCGCTTCGCTCCGGCTCATCTTGCCGAAATACCAGCTGCAAAGGGAGAGCAGAGGGTGGTCAGAGCTGGCGAGTCCGGGAACGGGTGGCAGATGTGGGAAATGATCCCAGGGAAAGGTGACAAACACCCCAGATCCCCCTGGAGCTGCTACAATCCTGGTGCTTTGGGATGCTGCATTTAGTGGGTTTCGCCTCTTTGCACATGTGGCCTTATTGCAACTGGCTAAGTGCAAATTGCCGCCTCGTTTCCTCTAACGAGGAAAGCAGCGACGTGGCCAGCAGCGGTCCAGCTCCTCTGCAAAACCCTTGGGCTGCTTCAGCTCCAGAGCAGGGTCAAGCACTGTCACTTGTCACCCAACAACCACATGAGGAGTAGCCCTGGGGCTGCAGGTGACCGAGCCCTGCTGGACCTGGACCCATCAATGCCACCTACGTCAAYGCCAACATTCCCATCTATGAACAAATCCCACCGGGGATTTGCTTGCGCGGACCTGCCTTCTCTGACTCCAACACAGCTCCAGCTCGGGGCACAAGCAGAGCCCAAGATGCCTCCCCAGCAACTCGTCAGCGCTGGGATTTCCCACCGAATCCCAGGGAAAAGGGGCAGGTTTGGTTGCTCATCCCTGACGCCAGTGTGACGCATTCGGGGACCACAGCACCGTCGGGGATGTGGCACGGGGATGCGTGGGGACGTGCCCGCGCTGTGCACATGCTAAAACCTGCTGGACTCTTTGGTGCCACAGAGARGAAATCACCATCCAACCCCCCTACTCAGGCCGTGCAGGCAGCACTGGGTTATTCCCAGCCCTGCTGAAACTCCGCACAACTGCGSAGTGCACGGAAAAGAGGGGTAAAAAGGGTGTTGGATACACGCTAGCCACAATCCCACGGGATGCTGAGGACAAGGTAGCTCAGCCCATGGCAAAACCGAGTTAGAAGTGCCCAGAACAGGGCATCCTCCTCCTCCTGCAGCACAAACCCCCTTCCCGCGCGGATGCGGAGCCGAGCGCGGTACTCACGGCCGGCGAGCGCCGTTTCCCTGGCTGACATTGGCCACGTAGGCGGCGGGGACGTAGCCYGTGGCCGCTTCGCCCGGCAGCTTTCCGGCCAGCACGCACTCGCCCTCCTCTCCGGGGACGCTCACGCCGAGCTCGCGGGCGCTGCGGGCGGCGAAGCCGTGCAGGGCGACGCAGAGAGCGGCGTCCGGGCAGCGGGCAGCGCACGGCGGCTCCGAGGGCAGCGGCGTGCGGTCGTCGGGCACAAAACGCCCCMCGGAGCAGCCGTCCCGGGCGGAGCGGGGCCGCAGCTTGTTCCAGAAGGACGTCAGGAAAGTCAAGCGCTTCCGCGCCAAGCGCCCCATTCCTGGTGGGAAGGGAGCGCGGCGCTCCGGGCGCCCCGAGGCCGYGGAGCGGAGCGGCCGCGCGGGCATCCCGGCACGTCTGGGCGCCCGGCACCTTCCCCGCGCCGCACCTGAAACCAGCTCAGCAGGTGGGGCGGCTTCGCTCGCGGCGGAGACGCCCGCACATCTGGCGGGGCGGCCACAGCTGGAGGCTGCTCGTGGGGACGGCTGGCTGCACGCGAAGGAGCAGGAAGGAGCGCGCCTGGTTTCTTTTCTTAATTACTATTTTAACGAGCGCTCTCAAGCCCTCGYGCTTGTCGCCGGAGCACCGGCGCACGCGGCTCTCGGTGCTTCAAGCAGCTCTTGTGACAAGTGGCAGACTCCACTTAGCCATCTTGATGGCACTCGGCTGGGAGGGGAGGTGGTTTTGCTTTTTGCACAAGAAAATGATTGCACCCACAAACGTGCGGGAGTTAGAGCAGAGAAATAACCTAGGAGGGAGCCGACGTGCTCTGCAGACCTGCTGCCCAAGCTTGTGCTCATAAGGAGCCTTTCCCTGCATGGCTGGGCACACAGATATGGGYATGGGCACAACGAACTTGGGCAAGCTCATTTTTGATGAAAAGCCCTCCTTAGGGTGCCCGGTCAGCAAACCATCCKGGGCCTGGTATTTGCAAAAGGGTGTTTTTGTTATAGCAAATAAAATCAGGGACATTAGAAAAAAACAAGGAAGATGCTGCACGTGAAGAGCAACCTGGTGCATGGCTGGGCGAGCAGCTGGGCGCTGCCCTCTGCAACATCCTGGGTGTCCCATGATGGTCAAACAAGCTGCAGAAACTGGATCTCAGCATCTACATCTGGAATTGCCTCATTCCCATCCTTCCCCAGCACTGGGAGGCTTGAACAAAATGTCCTGCTCCCTCCCTACCACAAAGAAGCTCTGGGATAGATGGAGAACTGCCCTGGGGTCCTCCTTCACCTGCCCAGCATGCAGCCCTACTGACTGCATTTTACTGACTGCAAATTTAACTTCTGGTCATTTCAAGCATTTCTCTCACTTACAGCTCATCTCTTGGARCAGGGAGGCATCGGAGCTTGCAATGCACAGGACAAAGGTGCAGGACACCCATTCCTGCTTATTCCTGCAGCACTTCTGACAAGTCTACCCCTCACATCACGCTCTATCATCAGGAAAGTCTCCTGCTTGCTTATGCATGTAGGGAGATTACCTGATTAGATCAAGCACAGACAATTTATACCTCACCCTTCTGAATGGGGACTTGGCAAACTTGTGGTTTGCAGAAGGAAGCTGCAGAACTATTTACCTTTATCAACCTGTGCCAGATTAGATTCTCTAGTGGTCCAAGTGACAGACAAGTGCAGCTGATGTATATAAGGCRCGAAGCTTTGGATCTTGATTTGCACCTAAATGAAAGAGTCCTTGAAAATGACAGACACCCCTGAGGACTAAATACTGCCTCCRAGCTGGACCTACCAGACATGCAGAGCACACACTCATCGCTGCAACCTCCTATCTGCACAGGACGCGCACGCACGGCTCAGAATCCCACGCCAGGAAAGAGGCTCTTGATACCTCACCATCTTTTTCCAGTATCTTTTTATTTTCCTATTAAATTCCAGGAGCATCCCTGCTGCTTTGAATCCCTTTGGAACTATAACACACCTTAAAAAAATTAAAAAGGGAGGAAAGAACAGGCATGCTCGTAAAAGTTGCACCACGGGAAGATGCTTGCATCATGGGAAGGAAGGAGGGAGGACACAGTAAGAAAAAGGGGGAAAAAAAAAGGGAAATTGTCTAACACATCAAGTATTTCTCTTAGTCCCTGCAAGTGGCTTGGACTGATGCATTAAAATCAAACCTGTCCACAGATTAGGGGCTGTGGTAAATGCACAGGGACGTTGGTCCTAGCACCACTGAAAAGCACCTCCAAAGAGCAACGAAGCCACGATGTGCGTGCAGCAAAGCTGGCCACGCCGTCSTGCCTTCGTTGCAGAGCACCTGGGAGCAATCAGCAGAGTGAGAGCTTTGCATTCAGCGATGTGTCCAATACTGCACACACTGTTCTCCCGGACTAATTGGTGGAAAACCAGCAGCTCCCCTCCATTAATGAGAGCGCCCATTATATTTAATTATCTGAGGTTCTGTTTCAGGTCCTGTTATGTTCACACTCTAAATACATCTTCCAGCTATGAGCCTTTTGGGAGAAAGAGGAGGAGAAACATAAAACCAATTAAAAACCCGAAGGGGGAGAAGCTTGGAGAATGCAGTTCATGCTTACGAAAAAAAGATGCTTCTTAGCCCTGGGCACGGAGCATCAGATCCATTCACACGGCAACGTAATTGAGGATGCTCCACTCATTACCAAGTGCTTGGCAAAGTCCAGGGTCTCCTCTCAGCAATRTGGGACACCCCGTTGGGCTTCTGTTTTGGGCTAATCTGGGTTAGCCCAGATTGCCTGGGCGGTGGGTTCATCTCGCTGGGTCATCGAGGGTTTGTTTGGGGGTTGGTGTCGGTTTATTTTCTTTAAGCCACAGTAAGGTTTCTCCAGGGGCTTCCTTRCACCAGAACTTGGGGATAGTTTATCCAAGAAAGATTTTGCCTCATCGTAAGTTGCTTAGCCTGGGTGCCATGGGACAGGGTGGTGGTGGATGATGCCAGCAGTGCATGGGGAAAAGAGAAAAGCGGAACAGTGGCACTAAAGCGGCTTCCTTTATCCTCCATTTCCCATGCTGGGAACTATGGTAGGAAGTACCATCTTGACAGACTAGCAGTTTTGCCACCACGAAGCAGGCAGTGCAGGGGGGCAGCTTATTCCCCAGATGAGTGTAGGAACAGTCAGGGGCTGGTGAACAGTCAGTGCAGAGGGTTCGGTACAGGCAGAAGTACAGTCGTCCTGGGACGGGGAGCCATACGGGAGGTGAGGGAGGAGGCAGAGCATGGCTGGGTCTTGCAGACTGCTGTTTGGAGCCCTTTAGGTGTGGATTGGACTGGCCGAGACAGTAGGAGTGCAGGTCATGGGGCACCTGAAACGGCACAGGAAAGCAAACCCGCTSCATTGGAGAAAGATGGGCTCGTTCTGCTTCCCCATTGCCCCTCGATACAGCAAACTGGGACTTGGAGCTTTCTATGAGCACGTTGGAGTCCCATCCTGCCACAGGAGTCACTCAGGAGTCACATCCTGCTCCCGAGTGCAGCAGGAGTCCCCACGTTGGCACATGCTTAGGGTGACCTGACACGTGCACCTCAGTAGTCTCAGTCCCTTGGCTAGCGCTGAGCCAAGAGGGCACCGGTGTTCCCAGGAGAGACGTGCGGCRTGACTCAGTGTCTACACAAGGGAAATCTCTGCCAATGCATAAGCAAATGAGGGCTTGCTCCATCTGCCAAGTGTCCTTGTCCCTGAGGAGGAACCAGTCCATCTACCCTATGACTGTGCTCTGTGCTATCACTCCCCACAGAGGATTGGGGGTTGTGGTACCAAGCATTGCTAGAAGAAATCCAGAGTCCCAAGTCCTAGTCTGTCCTATACTTAAGTCTTTCCCCATCTTTGCCAAACCAGTTCTTAAAAGACCTCCAGGAACGGATATGCCTCCATGTCCCCAGACAACCCATTTTAGTGAGTCACTAATCATTATTGTTAGAAATGGTGTCTAACCTGCTGCATTTAAGCCTATTACCTCTCGTCCCATTCATCACTGGATTGCTCCACTCCTTTCTACAACAGTCTTTTATGTAGGTGAAGACTGCCCAGGTGTCCCACCTGCTCAGCAAGACCCCCGTTGGACCCCAGCCCAGCTCAGAGCAAACCTGCTGACCTTGTATGGACAGGCAACGTGGTCATCTTTTTCTCCATTTGTCTCCGGTCCTCTTCCCCTGTCCATACGCTCTAGTGTTTCTGTGGTGCCACCTCAGTTGACTCTCTAGTACATTTACCTGTCAAGGACCACAGAAAAAAACATGAGTTTTAAGAGGAGCATTCTGCCCTTCTCATGCCAAATACCTGAGAGACATTCAGGCAAACACAAATGAATTACTATTCATCATCTGAGGTGCCAGAATTGATTGCACAGGTGCTCCTTCACCTGTCCCAAATACAAATTAACTGCACCAGCTCAAGCTGCCTCTTCTCTTGAGGTTCAGACTYGCATTTTACCTTGCAGTTGTAGAGGTATGAGCTTAGCTTCACCTCTTTCCTTATTTTCCCTCTTCTATACCTGCTTGCTCGCTCCCTCTGATCAGAGGGCTGTGGTTGGCTCTTAAATGCTTGGGAGCTTGCAGATAAATCCTGCTTATGGTGTGGCTCGATAGAAGGCAAATACTGGAATGCAAAGTTTTACCTGTTTCTGTAGAGAAGCAACCATCTTCTCTAGCTCAGCCACAAGGGACTCGAGATTCTCTCTGGAGGAAGGGCTTGGAGAAGGCACCTCATTTCTAGAGATAGAAAATAAACAGGATAATAGAAATGTTACAGAAGGCAAAACGATCCTCCCATCCCAGGAAGCTGACACCATGAAACACTCCTGATCTGCAGGCCTCAGTGCAGAATGACAATTTCAAAAGCCCAAGGGGACTAAGATATTACAACCTTCTCATACTCCTCAGATAGCAGAGGTATAAGAAATGGATCTACCAGACCTGGGAAGTGCAGGCTTGTGCTTGGAAGGGTTTTCTTCTGGGTAGCTGAATCCAGGAGACCTCTTGCTTCGGAACTGCTGAGAAAGAGCCTTGAATTGTCCACGTGTCTGGCAGTCTGGGGAAGGGAGGGACAATCTGGAATGAGCATTCATGCTTCAGACAGAACGATTTTGAACGGTTTGTGAATAAAGCAGTGCTGCCATCCTTCACTCTCCACCCTCAACAGATCAGCTGAACAAAGGAGGCAGCAAAGGGGTACAGGGCTCCCATCCTGCGTGGCTGGTCCCATCCATGCCTTGGCTGGTCAATGCATCCATAATGTAGCATGGATGGACAGGGCAGGATCTGCTGCTTAATAGCAGAGTTT